CAAAATAATTCTACAACTTTTTTAGACAAAATTAAAACCAATTTTAAATTTGAACATAAAAAGAGACAGCAATATATATTAAAAGACTAAAGTATCTCTCAGATGGTGGTTCAAGTATCACTCTAACTAGGGCAGAGGATAACTAGAGCCGGCAGTAGACGGAAGTACCCGTGTAGGGATGCTAGCAAAATCAGTGAAGGCGGGTCACAGTATCGCTAGGGTAGATCGTGGCGGCGACGGTAGCGAGACTATGGTATCATGGTTGTGTGCAGGGGCGAAGCCACAACACTAACCAGATTGGACCGATACAAAGAATTTTTTTAGAAAAAAAATTCATGAAATTTTTTACCTTGAAAAATTAGACAATTTTAAAAATTGGACTGGCTCGGGGTCAGGGTTGACCCCTCCCTAGCTACACCCCTGGTTGTGTGGTTGCAATGGGAAATTAGGTCACTCAGTTTGTTGTGGTGGATGCAACTGTAACTTGGCAATAGTGGTCACTATGAGTTTGTGATCGGTCATCAGAGGAGGATCTGTGTACGGGCTATGGTAGGCTGAAGCACGGGGCAACTTAGAAAATTTTCAATTTTTTAGTGTAAATTTTTTCATTTTTCATATTTAGCTCACTACTCTAATATTTAAGCCTAGTATAATTCCTATTCAGCCCAGTGCATCTCGGATTCCTGGATCCGCCCCTGTCGGTCATGGTCACTATGATCAGCGGTGGTCACTGTGAACGGCGATGCCACTGCAGGACAGAGCCACTGTGGCATTGGTCAATCTAGCGGACCTAATGTGATCGGCGAAAATTCAAAAAGAAATTACTTATTCTCCATTGCTTATTTGATAGTAATAGTTTGTCCTAATCCCGTGGAGGGTACTGTTATTTTGTTTGCTTTTATTTGATTGTCTTCTATGATTCAGACTCAGTCTTGTCATAATTTTTCTTTTTTCTTTAAGAACTTTGAAGAGTAGGTTGGGCGATTAGGAATGTTTCGATGATGACCTGTTGTTTGTTTTATATCGTCCTTTTCATTTTTCTCATGTTCTTTTTCCTCTTTTCTTGGATGGGGCAGTGAAGGTTTGTGCTTAATAATGATGATTAGTGAAGTGATGCAAGTCATACAACACAGAGTTAAATAGTTGTTGGCAAGGTAGTGGGTTATAGTTCAATGTTTTCCAAGGACAATGATGGAAAAAGAGGATGTAACGTAAAACAGTGCACTACAAAAAGACAGCAGTATTGGCACAAATTTGAAATGGATTTTTGTAACGGATTCGTCAAAAAGCAGGGTACGTATTTAGAACGGGCTAGATTTACCATGGATTCACGAACATGCCAAATTAAACTGTTTCAAAATCTGACCAATGAGGTTTTGAAATGATCTATTTGGCAATTAAGGTCCTATCAAAATATATTATGACTTGTGTCTAACTCAGATTAATCGGTACCAATTACGTATCTATATCATTGTGTTTTTTAGTGGTAATAGTGATGGTGATGGGTTGATGGTTAAGTCCTAAAGAGCTTTGTTAGTAATATACGGTTCGTGAATAATACAATAATACGTACGTTCGTATATAATACGATACAATTATATAAAATACGGTTTAATATATGTTTCATACATTCGTGAAATATATAAAGATACGAACATGTTTTAAACGTTTCACATTTTTAAAATACGGCATATAATATGTGTCTTATATACTACTCCCTCCGTCCCAATTTGTAAGATACATTACGGTTTACGATGTTTGACTGACGATAAAACAAATTGATCCCTGTCAACACTCAAATTATTTTTAGAAAATAAAATTTACACATTCAGAAACTACATTAAAACCGCTACAAAACTTGCAAAAAATAATTCAAATTTCATAAACTTTTGATATATAAAATAAAAGATTAAAAGTGATTTGTGTTGACCAAGTGAATAGTAAATGTATCATACAATTTGGGACTGAGGGAGTAATTTAATGAAATAAATAAAGAGTTATCAGTACAAATTTGAATGCATAGGTATAATAAGTAATAAAAATGACATTGCCTATATATATTTGAGTAGAAGTACGGAGATATTACCAAAGAATAGTTGATATTACTGTGATCGTGAGTTTGTTGAGCCACCGCAACGACATTTTTCGATCTCTTTGGAGTCTTGGTATGGGTGGAGAACAAAAGTAATACAATAGTAGTACAATGGTAATGTCGAAACAGATTAAGAATTTAAGAAGCTAATTTATTAAATGTAATGACTATTAAACAATTAACAAACATATAAGGCATAAAGTTTTTTTAAGCAATATAAATAATATTGAGCAGCTAGAGTGATAGACATTTCGTTTCAGTTGTATCACTCCATTAGAATTCCGTTTAATGGTGTGTGTTTAAGAATAAAATACGTATTAATACATACAGTACGTGTGTTATACATTTTATCCTTAAAGTACGTGAGTTTTTCAGAATTTTCTGAAAAATTCATAACTGGGAGTATTATTCGTGAATAAAATACGTATCAATACGTACGGTACGTGTATTATACATTTTATCCTTAAAGTACGTGAATTTTTCATAATTTTTTGAAAAATTCATAAACGACAGTATTATACGCGAATTATACGTTTGAGTGTATTATACGCGAATTATACGCGAATAAACTAACAGAGCTAAAGAGTACGTAGTGAATCTTCTGTGGTGTTGCTAAATAAATGTGGTACACAGTTGTTGCTATATGTTTTAGAACGTACATTATTCAAAGTTAAAATTCCCATTAGAATACTAGGAATGTATCTGTAATGTTTCATTGGCTGGCGATTGAAGGGATATATAGGAGATGAAGGAGGAAATTAAATTCATCGCCGAACCACAAAACATATATGCATGCAATTGACATCAGTATTTCACGTAACCATATCACTCCCTTTTCTACTCCGATCCATCCATTATTTCCTTCCTCCCATCACCACACCCGGTCTTTAGTACATTCTGATTATATCCCACGAATTGAAGAAACTAACTAGCTAATTAATTAAGTTCCTTCCTGTATCAGTTGTTTCTATTTTAATTTCAAACCAACTAACTCATGGCAGCCGCCACCGCTAGCCTCCAAGGCGGCTCCGCCTCCCCATCCGCCTTGTCCCCGTGGAACCAACTCTCCACCGCCGGTTCCTCCCCGTGGACCCAGCAGCATCCCGACGCCGGTGAAAACGCCTCGACCACCCAGGACCGGGAGACGTCCTTGGTCGGCTCCCTCATCCGTGAAGAAGGCCATATATATTCCCTCGCCGCTTCCGGCGGCCTCCTCTACACCGGCTCCGACAGTAAGAATATTAGGGTTTGGAAAGATACCAAAGAATATTCGAGCTTCAAGTCCAATAGCGGCCTCGTTAAATCCATCGTCGTCTTGGGCGAAGACAAGATCTTCACCGGCCATCAGGACGGGAAGATCCGGGTATGGAAATTCGCCGACCAGAAGAAGAAAACCTACAAGCGCCTAGGAAGCTTACCCACCACGAGAGACTATCTTAAAAGCTCTATGAACCCTAAATCTTACGTTGAGATTCCAAAGAAGAATCGGAACGCGCCGTGGATTAAGCACCACGACGCGGTTTCGTGTATGAGTTTGGATGAGGAACAAGGGTTGCTCTACTCCGGTTCCTGGGATAGGACCATCAAGGTCTGGAAATTGTCTGAGAACAAATGCGTCGAGTCGGTGAACGCACACGACGATGCCATCAACGCATTGGTCGTCGGGTTTGACGGCTTGGTCTTCACCGGCTCGGCTGACGGGACGGTGAAGGCTTGGAGGCGGGAGATGCCGGTGTCGTCCGCGAGCGAGAAGCCCCCCGCCTCGACAAAGCACGTGCTGGTGGACACGGTGTTGAAGCAAGACAACGCCGTGACCTCACTTGCCGTGAGCGTGTCCGCAGCGATGGTCTACGCCGGATCCTCCGATGGGCTGGTCAATTTCTGGGAGAGGGAAAAGAGTTTCATGACGTATGGCGGCGTGCTAAGAGCTCACAAGCTAGGCGTGCTCTGCTTGGCCGCGGTCGCTAACCTCGTGCTCAGTGGCTCCGCTGACAATAGCATATGCGTGTGGAGGAGAGATGACGGGGCCGTCCACGTGTGCATGTCAATGTTGAACGGTCATAGTGGGCCCGTCAAGTGTTTGGCCATCGAGGTGGACAACGGCAAAGATGATCAAGACGACGGCAACAATGGCACGGCGCGTAATAAGAGTGAACAACGGTGGAATGTGTATAGTGGGAGCTTGGATAAATCAGTAAAAGTTTGGAGAATAGTGCAATCGACAACATAGTAATAGAAATGTTAATGGAAGATCAAAGTTGTGTAGATGGGTTGCAAATTAACTAGACTAGAGATGATTCTTAAGAGAGGTAAGACAAATCTCCCAAGTGGGACTTTATGATGTCAACAATCATCCACCTCGACCAGAAGGAAAAGGAACAAATAATTTCATTTTGAAATGTACATGCATTTTGTTAAAAGTTTGATTTCCTCTCTTTTAAAACAATGGAAAATGTGTAATTTAGTTTATTTAAACAAAGCTGAAAATTCGAGATGATGGGAGTATGGAACATATCATTACGTGAACATGAATAGCGCTCCAAGAGTCATAGTCATTGGTGTAGGTAGCAGAATTGCCAAGACATCCTGGCTGAGTATAAGTTTTTTCACATTTGAGATGGATGGATCTAGTATATCCCTCTTCTACACAAAATACGTACAAGTCAAATTTGACCAAATTTTATAGAACAGGAGTATGTTTTATACTTTTAAGTAAATTGTTAATAAAGTATATTTTCACATCATTTCAATATTACAAATAGGTATGTATACAAATACAACATGAGTCAATTTAGATGTACTGGCATATAGGCATATAGCCATATACATGCATGCCAACCGACCAGCAAACCAATTCTAAGCATTAATATTGAACTCCTAGCGCGAAGAAACTCAAGTGCATCAAGGGGCAGAATCCATGTTACTTTCAGATAATGAGCTTTCTCTGTGATTTAATTAAACGTCTTTTCACAGAGAATAAATATTACTGTAGTCTTGAGGATAAATATTCCGGTACAGTGTATTGTTTGGCAGTACAAACATTATTACTTGAGGATAGTCATGTAAACTAATACGCCGTACGTAGTATGTTTTTTTACAAAATGGAAAAAAGCTAGACTGTAATACTGTATTTAGGGAGTATAAAATAGCATAAAATAACAAACAGTCATCTGCGCTAACTGCGTGGTGGAATTATGGAATGGAAGATCCGGATTGCTTCTAAATTTAGTGGGGCCTATATCGTGAAGGCGTGAAGTGATGTGGACTCTTCATGCAATAATTCGACCGTCGAATAACTGAAGAGTATCCATATCCAGACATTTTATTACCAGTCTCTGACAGCAACTCCACATTAAATCCATGTTGAGAATACTATTTTTTAAGCCAAATACCTGTTTGGAGCTTGTCTGGGAACCTACAAAATACATTACATACATATTTAAGCTGCTTTTGAAGATTTAAGCATGTTAACATTCGGCTTTTTTCTTAAGAAAGTTCAGCTGTTTTTTTAAAAACTAAATAACTAAAATAGATTTTTGCATAAGATGTGGCACTGGACGTTTATACCTTGTGAATAATTTTGGACACCTCAATTTTCTTTCAGCTATTTTATCTTCTACAATCTACTTTTTTGTTCCATCTACAACAACAACATTACCCCAGTGACGTAAAGGCCCCCACCTATGATAGGGTAGGGGGGTCGGATGTACACAGCCTTACCCGTGTACTAAAGAAGGGAGAGACTCTTTCCGGATGACCCATGATGAAAATCGTGTCGAAAATTGCATGGACTGACCGATGCTTTAAAGCAAATTAATTTTTTTAGACAACTTTGAAGCAATAATTGATTGTACATGCAATCAACTAATGGAAAGTGTAATTTGCAGCGCAATCAAAAAAACACTCAAATGAAGAAACTTATAGACAAATAAGTAAGCCAAAGTTTCACTCACATCTCAACGTGTTGATGAATGATGTGTTCATCCCTTTAGCAGCCTTTGTGGAGATATCATGAGGCAAAGATAGTGCGTGCTTGAGCCGAGGCCATGAAACATGACAAGCGTCTCTCAGATATTCACTTCCAAGAATTGCTCCTTCACATGTGGACTCTAAAAAACATGTGGCTACATCAATTCAGGCAATATAGGAATGTGCTAGGAGTCCCAATGGGGGATTTTGCCTTCAATTGAAACTTCCTCCGATGTTCTGAGCAAAGCAGTTTGTGATACTGGAGAAAGAATTTTAAAAGAACTCTCTCAAATCCAAGGTGTCCAACCCTCGTACATACTGCAAAGATTATCTATACTGGTTGCCTGCTTGAGCAGATAATCAACCTGTTCTCCCACACTTACCTCTCTGAAAACACCACAACAAGTATATAAGAGCATTTCATTATCAGAACAACATCACATTATGAGAACCAGCCTTACGAACGAAATCAGTGAATTTAAAAAAGAAACTATACCTGTTATCTACAATATCTCGGCCATCAATTTTCATATCCATCCGCTTCAAAATTGACACAGCATAATGATTTTTACCTTGAGTACCAAATTATACATGTACAAAATGTGTTACAAGACATACAACGTTAAGATTAAAGACCATCATCTACCCTCCACCCGCCTAAGAAAATAGGAGTATAAACTTCAGAGACAAAACAAAGAAGGGAATCAATGAGGTACAGAAGGTTGAGGGATCCTATATTCCTATAAGACTACAAGACTTAGAGTGGGGGGATACATCCATAATAGTTAATGTTTTGCAACTCACTTCTGATCCAACTGGAAGCTTCAGTATTAGTAAACAAAGGTCCATTAGTGTCCCCAACCTTTTCTTGGCTTGATGATGATGCTTTAATTTTTGGCCAATAATTCAATTCAGAAGTTTCCTGGTTTAAAAACATAAATTGTAAGAAGACAGATTAATGTTTGTTGGATATTGTAGCAAAAGGCTCCAACCTGTATATTTTGAGATCTTGATTGTTCGAAAGATGATATATTTGGAAGAGCAACACCAACTGAAGGGGATAGAAGAGGAAGTTCCACTCCACCATCAACATTATGATGAATTGGGTCCATGATATCTGGCCCGCTTGAGGTATCTGCCAGACTAGTCACAGATGATGTCATACCAGAACTTGAGCTGTCACTGGTTATACTTTCAGGGGGAGATATCCAACCTTTTTCATACAATGAAAGCCGGCTCACATCAAAGGAACTCTCGCCCGCCTCTCTGTCACTTCCAGAGATATCATGTTTTCTGTTAAACATGTTATCCAGATTAGAGATATCAGAATTTGATGGACTGATATTATCTGATCTGATTCCCTGACTTTCTCCCATTCCTTCAAGATCCTGAAAGTATTGAAGTAGGATCATATTAGAACCATATATAGGCAATAATCAAAGGGGAGTCTTGGCGCACCGGTTACAGTGCTGCCGTGTGACCGAGAGGTAACGGGATCAAGTCCTTCTTGGGAGCAGCCTCTTGTCAAAATGACAAGGGAAGGCTTGTCCCTTATACATCCTTGTGGTGGGACCCAACCGCGGACCCTCGACTTATTGGGACGCCCATGTGCACCGGTATGCCCTTTTTATATGGGCAATAACCGAAGACATGGAAAGAAACTTTTTTTTATCGCCAACAGAAGCCAATAAACACAGTTTAATATAATTTTAGTCCAATACTTTATTAAGGTTTCCTGCATGTAGACTAGCAGATTGTGCTAGCTTGTTGAGCATGGAAAGAAGTCCTTCGACAGATGATGTAACGGAGGGAACCAAAGGCCTAAATGCTTGGTAACTGTCCATGATTCTTGAATGGTAAGACTGGAACATTGCTTGTCCATGGACTGGTGATATCTCTGTCTTTGTCTCCCACTCCTTTGACATACACTCAGTCAGGACAGCAGCATCCTTGGAAAACATAGTTTCAAGCGGAAGTAAAATAGCACATGCCTGAAATAATGAAAAAAACAATGAAAATATAATTAAAAAGGAAATCCTCAATGGTCCCTACAGTGTGTTTCTACTTCCTAGTTTCCTACTACTCAAAGATTGTTCTCACCTCTATGATTGAAGGAATTCCAAAACCCTGGTATCATAAATTTGATTGCACCTTCAAGCTTTAAAAAAATTGCCTATGCCTCTATGCGCATACAGCTTTAGTTTTTCCATAACTACTTTGGTCATGTAGAATAGATACCTTAGAGAAACTGTGAGTAAATCATCTCAGGAAAATGTATATTTGTAATCATCATGGTATAACTGTACAAGGTTCTTGTTTCGTACAACTTTTGTATAGAAGCACTCCTATTTTTTTTTCAAGAATAATTGATTCTTAACAATTCTATACTACAGCGGAACAAAAACAGAACAGTTCAGGAGAAAAGGTAATATATTTACACAATTACTGTTTTACTTCAATGTGGATCGGTAATATAATTACACAATTATTGTACTTCAAAATTTATGACAAATTTGTGAGGTGGGAGGTAACTGTGAATTATCTCCCAACTAGACAAACAGGCGAGCGAATAAAGTGTGGAGGCAGCGTGATAGAATCTATTAGGAATTTAGGACTGAAGAAAAACATCACCTTGGATAGATCTTCCGTCATGGAGGAATGCAACACCACAGCCTCTTTTGCTATGCTATGAACATCGTGAACATCTTCTATTACAGCGAGGACCTATATATGAGGAAAATAGCAAAAATTAAATACATCAGACCATCATATGATGAGCTCACACGTCTTGAACTAGAATGCTAGTTAAACAAAATAAACTTTGAACATCAGTAAGCAGACTCTGAAGTGAAGAAACCAAGGTAAACACCACCTAAAGAATAGCACTTTTATATGAATGTCTTAAGGTTCACAAATGCCACTTAATTACTTTTTTGAAAGGATTGAAGATGAAATGCCAATCTATGCTGCACAGGCTATGTACAAAGGAAAAAGTATTTTAAATACAGATGCCAAAAGTACCCTACCTCTTCGAGCATTAGGCCACATTCAGATGTCAAAGCCGTATGCCCTCTAGAAATGTTTCCAAAGGCAGATATGGCAGCACTTGCTTCACGGGCATAATCTCTCATGGCAAGAAGAGTACTTTGTAGATCACCTAGAGAAAGTAGAGGTACTCTTTACCAAACCATAAAATGAAAAGATATGTAAAAACAATTCATGAGGACAAGCATCCATGTATTATCAAATTTGCCAGTGGTCAGTACCATCCAGAAAAATCACCTATGAGCATTGCTAATTGTATCATACAATTCAAAATGGACACAATATAAAGCCCGTGGGTGATTTTTGGGTTGCTTTGTCAATGAGTGATGTTGCTTATTAACATGCATCTATTCCATAGTGCTCTAAATTTTTGGATTAGAGGCGTCTTAACCTAGAGGAGAAATTAGCCGGTACGTAATGATTAGTCTGTTTTTTACTAAATGGATAAGTTGTATTCCCAGTCATTAGTAAGCACAGCTTAATTGATGAACAGTTGAGTCAATTTCCCATTGAGTCACAAGTAGAGAAGCTGTAAGTTGGCTTCATGAATCTCAAGTCACCACGCAGCTCAATAGACAAGATTTTATTACAATACAATCTGCAAACCTATCGATGCACCCATATATTCACAACCCAAACTTCTTTCAGCACGGGGGGTGCTAGATGGAGGGTTAGCTTTTACCTCATAGAGGTGGATATTTGACGTTAGTTGGAAAATCATTTTATGTTAAAATTCACATAAAACTTCTGATTTGTGCACCTTTCAAAAAAAACTTCTAATTTGTGCCACATTTTGGGTAGTCGATTCCTACAGGCTACAAGGCCCATGTGAGGGTCACTAAAGCAGCTATCCAAATTCCAAAGTTTGAGATATCTGAAAGGATCTCCAGGTAGATGCTTACTTCTTAATAATCATGGACATGCAAAGTTGTTGGCAATACATCAGAGGGGACTAGATGTCGTTGAGAAAGAATATCATCATATGGGTATTGTAATGATTTTGAGGTAATTTTGTATCTAGGAATAGCACGAAACAAGATGTATGTAATCTTAAATTATGAAAGATTGGCCTTATGAAGGTGGTTGTGACACTTCTAATTATATTTTCAAAGAAGTGTACTCAATACTGAAGCTCCCACTCGATGGGGGTATGGGAAAGGGAATAATCTAGGTACCTAAGCTTAATAATATTCAGAGTTATCTCTGAACATATCACAATTCACAACCATCATAGTGTAGACCCATATTTTACCTGATGCCGACCTTGCTTTGACAGAGGCAACGCAGAGTTCATTAGTTGCAGTGAATAAGCTAGTGGAAGCAATCTCCATATTGTTCTGTGCGTGTTTCCATTCTTGTTCGGTTCCTGACATTGTACATAGAACACAAAGTCAGCACCCATAAATCCATAACAAGAATAATATACATGCATTTCAACCAGCTCATGAATAAAGATTGAAAATCACTTGTGAAAGAGTGAAATGTATCGTCCAATTTTGCTATAGAATTTAGGTACGCTTGCTCCCAGAGTCTTCCATCTAAATTGGTCCTTGACGTGTGATGTTCTTCTGAAGTCCGAAAAAATCCATCTCTTGACACTTCAAATTCCAATATGGAGATGCAGAGTTTCATCATATCTGACGCCTTTTCTCGAGTTTCAGATAACAACTTCCTGCGTCTTATAAGATGCTCGTGGAATTCAGGAGGTATTCCTGGGATCTTTACTGATGTACTTCCAGTTGCACTGGTACTTGCACCTCCGCAAGCCCAGCCCATTGCTCTCTCTAGTTGCCCTTCTGCAGTAACAAAAGTTCTCTCGCATGCCTGTATGCCTTCCAGTGATTTAGCTATCTTTTCAATGGATGATCGCAAACTTTCAATCAATTCTGGTCTGCTAATATTAAGAAGAATGGAAACTAATTTGTCATCACTTGCAAGTAATTTATGACACATCAGTCTGCTGTTGTGCAGTGGGCTCACGGTCATATCATACATCCATTCCATCTGAACAATTTCCAAACTAGTCTTCAGAAGCTTATCCTTTAACTCGTTCACCTGCCTCTTCATTAGAGACACAGCTGACCTTGCTGCTCTGACAGTTTCATGTGCATTGCAATACTCCTGGAGCATAATTTGCACTTCTTTTATAGTATCAAAATTATTCTTAATCTGATCAACAGTAAATTCCGTCCTTGACTCCACCATTTTCTTCAATGATTCAATTTCTATCTCTAACCTTCCCAATATAACAGGACCAACTCTCTCTTTGAGGTACTGGGCAACACCTTTTTGAAGTTGCAAATCAATTTTACTCTTTACCGCATCCACCATTTGGTCGAATCCCAAAGTTTGAGCAACAGGTAAAGCAGCATGGTGCACACAGGAATCTAGCAAAGAATCAATCAGATAAATCTTCCAAATAAAAAAAGCATGACTATTGGATATTATGCTCGGAAAATTCCATATATACCCAGATACTAGATTTCCTGAACTGAATGAACTTGCAAGATGAGAAATCCCACTGGAACTAGATGCAATAGGTCCACCGAGTGAAGATAATGCCCGATCAACTGATTCCAACTCAGAAAAGGGTTGCAATAGTACAGCCAAGAGCGCTCTGCTTCTTAGAGTATGTGATTCCCTATCCTCTTCTCTAGTAATTAGAGATTGCAGATGGTCCTTAGAAGATGCCAAAGCACTTCTGATATTAGCTTCTTTCTTTATAAGAGATGAAGTTCGCAAGTCCTTCTGGTTCCATGTCCGGTGGAGCTTGTCTAATTGAGCTCTGCAAACTTCCTCTTTTGATGCTAGTTCATCGGCCTCTTCCCAAGATAAATGGTCTCTGCTCTTGATGGCAGCTTCTTCTAGAGCCAACTGTTGTTCCGTGATGAGACCAACGTTCACAAAGTAATTTTGTTCAAGCTCAACTAAAGCAGCCCTCTCTACTTCTACTTCAATAAGCTGCTCAAGTGCTGCATCAATGGAACCGCGGACTTGGGAGAGTGAACCAAATGCATCCATAACTTCTGAGTTGAACAGAATCACAGTTCTTAAGGCTTCTGGCAAAACATACTCAAGCATTTCCTGGACTAACTTTTTACATGAAAGCAGACTTGTTTTGAAAACTGGTGCCCAGTTCACTTCAAATGAAGAGGTGGCAGTATCTAAGGCTGTGCCAATATACTGCTGTATTTCAATTAGAAACCCTGCTATAAGCATACATTTCTCCGTTTGCTCTTCGAATTCGCAGAAAAAGGCTCCCAAATTAGACTGCAGCAGATTCTCTCTCCCCGTGAAACTAGCTAAGCTTCTGACTAATTTAAGCTTGATGTCATTATATAGAGAACAAACTGCAATAATTAGAATAGTTAGAAGTTTTCCCTTGTTCACCTCAACCTTTTCTTGCAATCCAGCATCATGTGGCCCCTGAAAATTTAACGATCCCATGTTATCGGGATCTTCTTTCCTCTCAAAGTCAGTGGACTGCATATACTTTGAGAAGGCAGAAAAAAGACAATCTTTGGCTTTTGCTTCAGTCTCCTGTCCAATGGAGTTCACCAGCTCTGCACATTCTCCTTCCAGTCTCCCTATTTCTGCTGCATACTGTCGTACTTTAAAACAAAGATCATCATACCTTAGTTTAACTGTGTCAAAGTTGTTGACATCGGACTTCCCAAAAAGTTCAACTGCCTGTCTTCTAGTGAGTGACAAAATGTCAGAAGATAGTGCATTCGCGGCAAGCTGCAAAATTTGTGACCATTCGTGCACTGGACTAGTTGTATGGTAATTGAGTGGCAAAATTCTTTGCAAGGCCACACAGTACGTTTGAAGAGCACTTGCAGCTGAAGAAAACCCTTGATCCAGCTCTGCAACTAACTGAGTAACTTCCCTATCTATATCTTGGCAATAAGCAAGAGTGGGCTCAGGAACAATAGTTAATGGGACTCCAGCCACTAGCACAGCAGATGTCAGAGAAAGGGCTTGTTCTGCATCACTCAAATTTATATGGGCATTAATTTCTGGGACTAGATTGCTTCTGATAGCATCAAGAACCATGCCATGCTGCTCAATCCAGGTTGTAGCTTCTTGAGCCTTCTCCACTACCATGGCTTGTGCTTGTGAGAATTCTCGAGCCTGGACTTGAAGTGATGCTTGGACTTTTTCAGAATTAGAAGATGCTTCTGCAACAATAGATTTTACGGATGTCTCTTGGAGAACAAGGTCGGATCTCTCTTGGTCAGCACGACAGGAAAGAGCAGAGACAGTCTCATACTGGTCTAGGATAGTTGAAAGTCTCTATAATAATAAAATCATATCATAAAAAAAATCCTTTTAATAAAGAGAAAGGCAATCAAAAGTAGGGAAGTCGTCTAAATACCTCAAGAGCTGATTCAACAGCTGGAAAAGTCGACACTAAAAGATCATGATGCTCCTGAGAACATTAAAAAAGATTATCGTCTTCAGTTGAATATTTTTACTCATGATTCGTGACACTACATTTATAAGCATGTTTTGAAGGGTAAAAGAGAAATGAGAAAGAAGCAAGTTGTTTTAACTGTCACTGTAAATCCTTAAAAGTTACAAAGTACCAAAAGTGCATAAATAATAAATCTGAATGTTGCAGATCCATAATCCTAATCCATTAAGCATACATGCATATATAATGAGAAACCTGTGTTTTAAATCAGGCCGGAAAGTGACCTGGTCGAGTGACCAGATCATGGGTTAAGTGGTTAACCCGGACCCAGCGGGTCAGCCTGGTCAACGGGACAGCCCGGTCAACATTGATAAAATCTTAATGATATACATATAAGCTATACATCAAATTAAAGTAAACAATAACTACTCTACATAATAATCGAATAATGGTTATATATGTATGCATCAATTCATATAATGTTCTAAGGCATAACTTTAGTTCTTTTCGGATCAATAATATTATTTGGTTATTGGATATGAACATCTTTAAAATAATCTTGGCATACTTTCTACTGTTTCTAGGATGAGATCTTTAAATCCATCAAATATGTTTTTTTGTTTTTTAAGAAGTTGGGATCGTAATTTGTTCAGATTAAAGAGGCTTAAATAAATAAAACATTCGAACCGGGTTTACCGGATTACCGGTCTGGGTCTGGGCAAGGTTTTCTCAGCTAGGCCGGGTTTTCTGGTTCTCATCCATTTCTGGTTTTTTCATTAACCGGTCTGGTTTAGGACTGGGTCACCAGTTTCCGAGTCAACCCGGCTGGGGCAGCCCAGTTTGTTAAACATAGATAGAAACACTTAAAAATATTTTATTATATACAATAAGATAGAGGGGCAGCAAAGGGAAAGCTAGAGAATAGTTCATACTATGGACCATTCAAGAGTATAATAAGCAAGTGAAAGAAGCAGAAAAACAATGACAAGTGTAAGCTATACCAAGCAATTATGGATCAATGGATTGGTGGAAGGGGGAAGGCTACCCAATGATATCCCAGAAGACAAGTGGTCAGCAGCAATGACAACAGAGGAATTAACTAAATTATATCATGCCCAAAGGCCAAAATAATATACCTGCAAGGGAACACGAATTTCTTGCACCCGGGAAGCAAATAAACTCAAACTAACTGCAAGCTCCATCCCCTTTCTTTCCTCACCAAAAATTGCTGCATCATCATGAAAATCTCCACGTGTCCAATCCACAAGGGGGTCCCAAACAAAGACATCTAGGAGCATCAAGATTATGTCCTTATTTTTCTTCAAAACACCAAGAACCCCTTCACAGTTTGCTCTAAAAGTTCCCTCAACACCAGTTAGGCCTAAAGCAGCTTCAATTGTCTGAGTCAAGCGGAAGGGCACAATTTCAGGGATCCTTAATCTTTGCCCTTTATCGAAGCATACATTGTAATCAATATGCACAATGTCGCCGGTACAAAAATCAATAAGGACATTATCTAAGTGCCGGTCTCCTAGGCCAAGTATGTGACCAACAATACTCATAGCCGCTAAACTACCAGAATACCTGCAAGCAAATTGATCAAATAAAGGCATATCATCGATATTTTAATGGTTACTTTGTGAAATTTATTGGGGGGAAATCACAAGATAGATTATTTTTTCAGCATATGTTATATTATACTTGCCACAGAAGGCAATACTACAATACAACAACATTCAAGCCTTGGTCCCAAAAGATTTTGGGATCGGCTAGCATGAATCGATACATGATAACAGAGCCAAAAATAAAACAAAGATAAAAGATAAGCTTAAGAGCCAAAAAGCCATTATGTCATGAAGTACTACAAAAACTCACCTGTGTCGGCTCAGCGCCCCAGCCATAGCCGACCCTATGGTTTTTATTTTTTTTCTTTTCCTCTTTTGGGTAGAGTGGGAGTTTCATAACTCAATAAATATAAACTTCATGAATATATTGCTCCCTCCATCCCTAGAAAAAGTTCATGTTTCCCTTATTTTATAAAACTAAGTTTTTTACTTTTTTATCCTCACTTAATATCCCACCTATCACCAATCACCATTAATTATTTTCATCCACATATAACAAGGGCAAACTTAGTGAAATTAGAAGCAAGACTTTTGATCCATTAGAAGCTGCACAAGTCAAACTAGGAAGTAGGAACTTTGGGGCAGAGGGATCAAATGACTTGTTATTTAAAATATACTCCGTATAAAAATATAGTCAACAATTTAATTACCATGTAAATATCATACCATATAAGTAATAACCGGATAGTCCCTTAATGACTTCATCTTACTCTATTATATTGTTTGACTCTCACGGAGAGGACAGAAGTAAAAGCACTATAAGTATCGATATTTCTTCTACCTTGACAATATTGCAACAAAAATATAATCATTGATGTCAAACTAAGCATGCATTGTACCTTTAATATGCAGATAGTTTTTTATCTTGACGCCGTTAGGGCACCGGCACAACCTAGCCTACGAAGCCCTGGGCCTCTTAGGACCAGGCTAAAAAAAACTCATGCTATAAGGGCTTAGAAAATTCGAAGGACGGACCTCAAATCTTTACTATTTTACTTTCTCTGTTCAGACTATTATTGATATCTCTAGGTGTAATTAGGTTTTGCCGACAAATCCAGTTTTTGTGTGGCTGCCTGGCTGGGCACCTGCGCCACCAACATTTTCACACTGCTAGGTGTGTCATGAGTAATTTTTCCATTTTGCATTAATATCATTCTTAATCCCTGTACCAAACAAGGGATGCTTAATCAAGTCAAGCACTTACCACACCCTCTCCTTGGACTCACAATTCACAAACCCCCTAATCCAGAATATGACCCTAATAAACAATGAAGACCTTCCGGTATTAACTGTTAACTTAGTAGACTTTAAGTCTAGAAACCACAAGCAATATTAGCCTGGAGCCCTAGAAACAAGAATATTGCACATTGTATGCCTACAGGTCAAAGGCTTCCCTGAAAAGAAATACTTGTATAATACTACCTCCGCCCCATTTTATGTGTCTTAGTTTGATTTGGCATGATTATTAATGAAGTGGTTGAAAAAGTAAAAGTTGTGGTTGAGGTTTAAGTATAACAAAGTGAAATGGTGTAGGCCACATATTTCTTTCCAAAAAAGGAAAGTAGACACTTATTTTGGGACAACCCAAAAAGGAAAGTAGGACAGGTAAAATGGGATGAAGGGAGTAGTACTTTGTATTATAAATAATAATGAAAGCCAGGGAACATTGAGGTCGTAATAGCACAGGCAATGTAATGTAAGACAGCGGCAGATATTGATCACCTTTTTTGTTTTGAATGAAATGCTCTGAACCCTTCACTTGCACACCAAAGCTCATGATAAAGAAGTTGGTTAGGAGTCTCATTCATGAGATCCAAGAGAACTTTCCTCTTCACCTCATGAGGCCAGTCTCTTCTTGATATTACTCTTTTAATACCTTTCTCCTTAAGTGCAGGAATGATTTTACCATAAAACATGTCTATTGGCCGAGGAATAGGGGGAGGAAGCACATGTTTTGCATTAGGACCCAGTCCTGAAAGTTCAGCAACCTGAACCCGATTCTGCCATGACTTAAAGACGCTATAAATGCTAACTACATTATCAACCCACTGAATGAGACCAGCCCGGCCACTGATGGGAGTCACAGAGTAAAAGCGAATGCCAACAGACTGACCCAAAGTTAAAGATGATGAATTAAGTAAGCCATTTATCGCTTGAAGTAGCTGCATGATCCTGGCATCAAGTCGCAGATCTTCTCGCCCTTTTAGCAGATACGTGTACTTTTCCCCATCAGACCCCAGAATCCAAAGCTTTTTCGGTTTTGTCTTGGTTGATAAGATAGTTACTTGCTCAGAGAATGAAGAAATCGTGACAATTCCCTTGGGAGCAGTATCACCCTCTTCTGGTTCGGAATATATTATTTGCTTCTCAAGACCAGGCATAGGAGCATCAGATGTTGAGAGAAGTGCCAGCTGTGGAGCAACTTCTCTTAGTGATACCGATGACTTTCTTTGATAAGATGCCAAAGAGGCAGCAATGTTGTTAAACGGTCGCCAAACATCCCCTAATGCAGCACTGGATGCAGGGGGTATCTTGAAGTTTAAAATTGCAGATTTAATTTGATCTTTGTATACTTCATCGAACCACATTTCATGGGGCGTTTCAGGTTTCCGAGAAGTGGAAGATAAACGCCGCTCCAAAACAACAACTATAGGAGCCATCATTGCTGAGTACTTAGCAGCATTTATCTTATTCTTCTCCCCATGGCTAAGAGTTATATTGTCTGCAATTCTCGCAGCTTCATCTTTCAGCAAATGTATCCGTCTCATTACATCTAACCAATGGTACATTGAAGACAAAAATTAAAAAATGACAGCTTTAAGGTGCTTAGAGGGATGTAAACACCGTATTTAAAGATATAGCCCAGGGTGAATAATTCCCAAGCTCTATGAAGTGTAAATGCATTTTATACACATTACACTTGGAATAACAAAAACTAAAATCCAACATGCATGGAAGAAATTAAAAATATTGGTCCCACCCCCTCCCCAACCAATAATCATGCATTCCACAAGTAGTGAAGTTAATCTTACTTAAAGAATCTAGAACATATGCATGTAATGATGTCAAACAATACCCGCATGAAGATCTTGAAGTGTAGTGAGCCAAAGTTCCTCCCAAAGGACTGTTACACTTTCAAGTTCTTTAATCATCATCTGGACATCCTTAACTAATCTAGGATATAGCTTATTCTGCAATTTAGCGAAAAGGGTAACAGATTAATCCATGCAGTCATTATTTTGACAAAATTTATAATGAAAAACCTGTTAGCGAGTCTGGGAATAAGAAGACGAGGTTTACATTTTTCATAGGTCTTATTGTGTAGTATATTTACTTAATTATAAGTAAAAGGAAAATACAACAATCATTTTGCAGATGATTTTCTATTTCATTTTTCAAATAACTTTATTAATATGTAATTAAATATAAGTATAGTCAAAGTTGCATGTTGGCAAACATGAAAGTCAAACTGTTGCAATTAAAAAAGAACGGGGGTAGTATTAAGACTGAGCTATTTCCTTTTGAATACAAATGTACAATACTAAAGTTGTGCACTGTGTACAAAACTGTAGATAATTAATCCAAGCCATTGAATCTACCAGGAAAAACACGTCTCTTATACCTCACTACTATAGAGGAAAAAGAATATGTTTTCTTTTGTTGTCAATTTTAGAAAGTGACAGAGTAAATAGATTTTTACCAAACAAGCTAGTATCTGCTGAAGCTCTTCAGGAGGTTCTTTTCCACATGAATTAGCATCAACAAGAGTTGGGTACACAACTGACCAAGGAGACAGCTTCGCTAGCATTACTAGTAAGCTCTCTACCTGTTTCCTAACCACTTGCTCAGGATGGGAGCATAATCGAGCAAAAAGTTGAGGAGTTATTTCCTTCAAAAGGAAAACATAATCAGAATCCAAAAGTAATCCTTAAACAACTTACATATAAGCAGGATCTCACCTGCCATGGTAGCAAAGGAACTCCTGATAATGCAGGCCCAACAATATCTTTTAACTCTGGTCCATAGTTGACAAGAATATGCAAGACATATAGCGTGGCTTTAAGAGTATAACTCGTTGTTCTACACTTAGAAACTCTATCAAAACCATTTAATTGGCCATCAAAACTTCTTGAAGATGTATGTGAAAGGAAATTCAGAAATGCCTGGGCCGCATGACCAAAAAGAGAGACCCTTCTCTTCCTCAAAGACCACCAGGTATCAACCAAATCACCAATCACAGAAACCACAGATGCTTCTTCCATGGGTACCTTCATAGTAGCAAAGCACTTCTGTAACTTAGAAGCAACAGTAGAAGATAGGCATTCACAGCTAAAATCTTCTGCTCCAGGAGCTCCAGCTTCAGACTCAATAATATCTACAATCTGCTGCAACAAAGGCCTAGCATGTCCTTCATTTGCTATATGTGCAGAAGATCTGAAACCCAAATCAGAATCTCCCTCATTTTCATTCAACTCATTAACAAGAAATATGTTCCAAAGAAATTGAAAAACTATGTCTTTCACTTTCAATAACTCTTCATTTGTTAACCTAAACCTTCCAGGAAGAAGTTCAGAATCAAGAATGGGAGAAAATGTACAATATTGGAGGGGAGCTTCAGCAGGTGCAAGCAGGGATGATTTAGCATGAGTAAAACACCAAAAAGCATATGCAATCCATGACTTCCCCATGGCGGGGCACAATCGGGAAGACAGCTTTGTAGCAGTGCCGACAAGTTCCTCATAAATATGGTTCACATTTTCCTTTGAAGGTAGATGGTCATTATCAGCACCAGATCCTTCTTTGCCACTATAAGTTGCATGGACATTGAAGTCGTCTTTCATTCTGAGGACTACATCTTTCAATCCTGCATGTGAAGAGTCTCGTTGCAACCAACGAGAAAGTTTCAGACATGCCTTCGCCATCAAAGCACTATCATAGTAATCAGAGGAAACAGCTGAAGGTGAAACCATACAAGGACGCAGAAGTGACCACAAGCTGGTCAATGCATCTTCAATCTTGTTATCAGCATACTTCAGTAATATTTTTTCATAATTCAAACTAGAAATTATATAATCACGCGTACTGCCCTTGGGGCAAGTAGATATATTGTCCACCAAATATTTTTCAAGACGACTCATCAACCTTATATTTCCCTGTTTACGGGCAAGACTCATCACATTGTTGCAAAGCTTTAGCGTCGAGGGCGAACTAGGATGTGCAGCTTTATAGACTCGCAGAACTTTCAGCCACATATTACAATCCTGATGAATCTGGTTGATAGGGGAATACATTGTTTGAAGATATGGATTTAATAATGATGGAAAACTCTGGTACTTGTCCTCCTTGAGCTTAAACCCATCTTCAAATGCCAAGAGGCAATATAGCTGGTTGACATAAGGTGCTGCCCTTGACAGCCCATCAAGGGGTAAAACAGACAATGGCTCCTCCAGCATTGATTTTGCCTTTTGCAACTCATGTGACACCCTGTCAACCTTTCCATCAATTTGGTGAAGCATAGCCTGCAAAAGCATCTGCTCACTCCTTTGCAGTGCCAATTTCGGGTCAAGAGTTAGTTCATTGTTACTTTTTGGAGTCAAATCAAGGCATGCCCATGCTGCCTGTAGATCACCCTCATCAAAGCGAGCTAACGCCTGTATAGAGTTTATTTCATTGCCAGCAGTGGTTAATGCACCTGAGTACCTTTTTCCCGCATGCTTGGCACGAAGTGTTTGCAATTCCAACAGCCAGGATTCAAGGGACTTCCAATCAGAAATTGCACCATAACTCTCTATGATACGAGCTATGGCAAACTGTACACCATCAGAGCCCATAAGTGTAAGTGAGTCTTCATTATGTAACAAATGAATAAAGTGAGCAGCAGCTTTTTCATGCTGACCCTCAGCTTGATACACCAGCCCATTGATCCAAGAAAAACAACCCAATGTCCCTCTGCCATCTACAATCTGGTTTTCATCATTAAACAATGGAGAAAACACTATGCTTGCCCATTTTTGTATACCAACTAATGCCTTGGGTTCATAATTTTTGCTTAAGGCCAACGTAATGTGTCTCAAAACTCTCATAATATCTCCAGAAAGCCTACCTCTGATATTTTGGAAGTCTTCAGTTACTTGGGCTCCTGACTTTTCTCTCATTGCTGAAGCAACGAGATTTCTTAGCTCCTGTAAGCGCAAGGCACAATAATGAATTGTAGCATCATGACAATGCAGTGCTAATCCAGCATTCATCATTGGCTCACATATCCTAGAAAACCATTCCTCACAAACCTTTTTATTTGCCCTAAAGAATGAGGAGCTCTGCCTAGAAGCACATGGCAAAACAAGTGATCCTTCATATGCATTGTATACATTTTTCTTCAAAGCCTCAACAAAATCAAATAATAATCGCATAGGCAACAAATGGGCATAAGAAGAGCTAATTATATTTAAGCTCCCATCACTTTGATCAGCATCAAGTTTAAGCAAATTAGCCACATCCAAAAGCATGCGTTCCAATGCCGCAAAAGTTTGAGTTGGCCCCCCAAGATTTGTTCTGAGACGTGTAGTAATACAATATCTTGCAGACTCGTTTATAGCCCACCATGCACCAGCAAGAATATCAGTGGAGCAAGCTTTTTCAAGAGTTTCTTCATCCACTTTGATATCCCACAGTAATCCATTTGAGCCAGCATCAGCTGTCTCTTCAAGCAGGGTCGAAGAGATATTGTTTGACCGTCTACAACTACAAATAAGCCTCTGGATCCAAGATGAAAGTGGAACTTTCCATCGCTGTGCAAGGTAGCTGAGTATGGAAACAAGCTGATGTGAATGAAGTTGTTGAGGCAGCGGCTTGAGTGCAAAAAGTTGCTTCCAGTGCAAATTAGATCTACTGCAAATTTTATAATCTCCTGGTCTGCAGGTTGCAAGTCCATCCTCATTTAGAGCACAAAAATATACTGTTAGAGGTAGAACTATTGAAAGCACCCTAACAAAAGCACTTCTTATGTCTTTGTCTGGATCGCCGAGTTTTAAAAGGACGGTCTCAGCAGTAACAAGGAAGTGTACAGGATGGATGAGTTTAGCTTGCAGAAGCATCTCCAGTACCGATGCCACAAGAGACCTCACTTTATATTCCCTGTCTGAAGCAGCACCCAAAATAGAAAACAGCAAATTCTGAAAAATCTCAACATAGCCAAAAGCTTCACAAGGAAAAAATGATGTCGTTGAGTTCTCATACATGCTAATAACATTTCCACATAATTTATGTATCCATTGTAGTCCTTCTATTCTGAGTATGAAAGGAGATGAGGGGTGAATAGCTTTGCTAAGAAAAATACAGAACTTTTTCAGGTGTTGTAAGATTATCATGGGAAGTTCGTGCTCCCAATCATCATCACTGTGGGAATTTTGTGCTGATGACACCACAGAAGCATCTGCAGTTCTTTGCTTGCCCATGGAGCACTTGCACAAAAATTCTACCACAGCTAGCCTTTCTAAAGTTCTAAGAACTGTGACTTGCAACTCTGCATCATCCTGGATAATGGAGTTAAAAGGGTCCAAGTTGTCAATAATATAAGAAATCAATTTTTCTGACCTACTAACATATAGAGTATCAGTTCCTCCTTGGCCATTAAAACTGCCTGACCCATGCAAAGAAACACAACTTGACAAGACCCTCAAATCAAATTTGATTAATGCATCCAGTTCAGATTTCGAATAGGAATTAAGCACTACAGCATTACATATATTATCCCCACTGCATGAAGTTCCTCCAAGTGCTCTTCTCAACGGTTCAAGCTCTTTGAGCACTGTACTCACTGATGCTTCAACAACTTCTTTGTTTCCATGTTGAAGCAAGAAGATATATGTAGCAGCAGAACTTCCTGCCACTAAGTGGTTTGGATGCAAACGCAGCTTGGATATAGGTGCACCAAAACATAAATTTTTGTAGACAGATGACGGAGAGAGTCCAAGCTTTTGCAAAGACAGCAATTGTAAATTGGTTTTAAGAACCCCATGAACCTGAAATGAAGTTAGCTTATTTGACCCAATAGAATGCTCTTTACCTTCCATGTCCAAACTTTGAAACAGAATATCAAGTGCAATGCTGTAAAACGGTGAAAACTGATCAGTTAAAATTTCTGCCAATAAAGTTAAACATTTCCAAGAATCTTCTATCCATCTTGACCAACCAAATTTCCTTCCAATTAGAGATATGCACCCGAGCAGAATAGGAACCATTTTGCAAAGAGGCTCAGCAATTTTTTCAAGCATGTTAATCTCCAATAAACCTGACGACATGGACTGTAATACTGAAGTAAAGCAAGACAGCAGAGAAAGTAATCTTTGGAACTGCTGCAAGGTACCAGGGCTTCCATCCTGAAGCAAAACATCCATGTCTCCCAAAAATTTTGAAAGCAGTCCAAGGGAGAACTGCATATTATTTACCCAATATTTCTGAAACTGCAAGAAACTATCCATGATTACACGCCTATCAGAATCTGCAATGTCTGGCACCAGCACCCATCCAAGTAGCAGATCAACAATGTCTACAAAATGTGGTTGGAAACATCTAAAAAACTTCAAAGAGATCAGTGTTAGAACGTCAAGCAGCCTACTAAGTAAACTGAAGGAAGTCCTCTCATCCTCAAGAAGTTCTTGGCAAGATTTGAGAATTGGCAAAGCAAATCTCTCAACTGCTCCAACATCCCCAATACTAAGAAACTCGCGAAGACCTTCCAAAGCAACATCCCACGAGCCATCTCCAACATTGCCAATCAGTGACAAAGCCCAACTAATGAACCGGTCAACCAAACTTCCGAGTATAACATGGTTCTGCCTTCCATTTGGGCCCATTGAAATAGAACAAATCACAGCGCACAAAGCACCATAACCTCTAGCGGCTGGGTGACGGACTGAATAGCACCTGATCATCAATTTCCGGAAAAGTTAGAAAAGATTTACCATATGACCGACCAGTAATGAATCAAATTAGTTCAGAAATTAATGGAGTACTATATATCCAGAAATATAAACTATTTTTCAGGAAATGTTGCTAAAATTTATTATCAAATTGCAGAAAATAACTGCAAAATAAAGAGCAATACTAGATATAAGACTCGGAAAAACATAATTTTAGCAAAATCTCAGGCATTGAGGGCGATGAAATAAAGATAGGAGTCACGGTACTTGTCGGATAGAAGCTGAGAGAAGCCTTGAGCTAGATATGAGGCGGAGTGACTGACAAGAAGGGAGTTGGGCGGGTATAGAATGGCATTGTGGAGTGAGGTTATGGCGGCGATTCTGGATGATTCGTCCTCCTGTGATGGAGCCGCAGTGGATGAGGACGGGGTTGGCGCTGACGAAGTTGGTGGCAGAGACGCCGTTAGCGTTGACTTGGAGGGGTCATCTTTGGGAAGCGCCGCCGCAAGGAGAGCCGCTAACTGTTGCTGCTGTTGGTGAAGCCCCTGCATGATCTCTTTCAGGCTAACAATTCACAGCAGCATATCACAATGATTTATCGGCACTTCTGCCGACATAGGTGTCCGGAAATTCCTTGTCTGATTTCTGGCTTTATAAGACATGCGTTGCGTTTAGCTTGCTTCTGGAGGGTCTTCTGCGCAGAAAAGCTTCTGGAGTCGCCGGAGAGCGGAGCAAACGTAACACAAGTAAACGGAAAACCTTTCACTGTTATCCAATTTTCCAATGTGACGTGGTAGTGACGTTATCTCGCTGGCTTAAAAAATGTGAATGTAAAAAAGTTTGATACAAATTATACTATCTCCGCCCTGAATTGATTTGCAAATTTGACTTTTCTTGGTCAAACAGTTTCGTTTTGTTCACTTAATTAGGATGTCAATTTGTAATTATAATGTAATTTGGAGTTTACAACTTTGAAGAGATTTTAATGTAGTTTATGAATATGTAAATTTTAATTATTAAAAATTAAATTAATTATCAATAAGGAGGATTGACTTTTATTATTGATTGACCAAAAAATATTGACTTTGCAAAACAAATTGGGACGGAGGGAGTATGTATATAGGGAAAACTATCAAATAAACTTTTGTACTTTTTATCAAAAAAAATAATTAGATCCTCGTACGAAACAATTAAGAATGTTTTTTTGAACTGTTTTCAATTCCAGACTAGACTTAAACAGATTAGATCAGATCAGACCAGACTTAAACAGATCAGACCAGATCAGACTTGGATAGTTATAAAATACACAGAGATCAGCAGATGTTTACCAGACCAGACCAGTTAAGACCAGACCAGGCCAGACTTAAACAGACCAGACCAGATCAGACCAGACCAGCAAATTTCAGTCCAAAAGAAAACATCCTAAGTCCACATGTCAAGAAATTTTATTTTTTCCTTTTCTTTTCTATTTTCTTTTTCTTTCATTATTTTTGCTTTCTCAGGTGGCTTCTTCTTCCCGGGTGCATCGCTCAGTTCTTCTTTCCTTTCTTTCTGTAGTTCTGTTCAATTTCTTTCTTGATTTCTCCCCCTGGAATCCATCCTCACCTCACATTCTTTGCTTTTCTTTCTTCTTTCCTTTAGGTTCTCTTTGGGGCGGTGGGCAACAGTGATTGGATAAGGTGTTGCTGACGAGCGGCAGGCAGAGAATGATATGGGAGATGGGACCGCGCACAAGCCTGGAGATGGTTGTGGGCAACCGGAGGCGAGAGGTGACGGTCGAGATCGAGTCGAGGATGTTGTGGGCGAAGGTCGGTAAAGGAGGATGTTTTCTTTTGGACTGAAATTTGCTGGTCTGATCTGGTCTGTTTAAGTCTGGTCTGGTCTGTTTAAGTCTGGTCTGGTCTGGTCTGTTTAAGTCTGATCTGGTCTGGTCTGGTCTGTTTAAGTCTGGTCTGATCTGGGACTGAAAACAGTCCAAAAGAAAACATCCTGAGTATGTTATGGCTAGCTGTGGGCGATTGGTGGCAGATCGGTGGTTGGGGAAGTCGTGGTCGCCGGCGGAGGGACTTGAGAGTTACAAAGGGATGCTTTATTTTGCTCGAAAGAATAAAAGAAAGAAAGCGCAGAAGAACTAAGAGCATCCCCAATGTAGCCTTTCCTAGTCTAAATAAATTATGCCACATGTCAAATTATTAAAAGGCTTTCTAATCCTTATGATAGATAGTGGAGTGATTAGACATTAACATTAGAGTATCTTTAATGTTACATTGTTAACATGGAACAAATCGGGACACATGGCAATCAATAAATGGAATAGTCTTCCATGTCATTTACAAGTGATATAAATAAACTGTCGAATCCAAAATTATTGTCCAATGCATAATGTTCACACCCATAATGATGTTTACGTGCAATGAGCATGTTTTTTAAAAAATTAAATAAAAATCAGCAGAAAAAATTCAGTTGGACGTGAAACAAACCCACTACTTGCTGCAAGTATATATCGTGGGTCGTGGCATTGGTTTGGAGCGTAGGATTTGGCGCTGGCAGCAGAATTTCCCTGATTTTTCTACACTTTGTGTGCTTCTCCAACGAAATTGGCTGAGTCAGCGATGTCAACTACGCTGTTATTTGTAAACAGTCAGGGCAACACTGTTGACACTAATTTTTGACACTAATTTTTGACACATCACCATTACGTGAGTCCAGATCTGATCCATTGGAGACGCGAATTTCAGACACATTGTTAACATTGATGAATCGACTATCTTTATTAATGTTAACAGATACCCATTGGTGATGCTCTTACCACAAAGCCTCCAATGCATAAAGTCTTAAACCCAAATTAAGTCTCCGTGTGCAATATATTTTCTTAAAAAATCATTTTTAATCAACCGTTGCCCTATATAATACGAGTCGTTTTTTTATCGTAAAATAGTTCTAGAGAGAGTTGCTTCCTTCCTCAATTTTCCGGACAACTCATTCTACAGGTGTTTTGTTTCTTTTTGCGATTATAATCGAATAGAAATCTTAATTTTCATATATGTTCAATTATTTTAAATCAACTCCGAATTATATACTTGTATATACCATCGGTTGTAAAATTATTTGTTTTAAAAATTATTTTTTTTTAAAATTATTTTAACTGAAAGTCTATACCATCAGTTCAATGCTAGTATACTGAAACTTTTCAATGGATTTGTATTTGTTTAAGTTTTAAATATTGATTGAGAATATCTTCTTTCTTTTGTAGTGATATGAAGATGAAACAGAAGTAGAAATTTGTGGGTATCTGGAATCTGGTGACTGGTGGGATGCTTTTTGCAAATTCCGTTTGCCGCTGCTATTTTCGGGAGAGAGGTGACTTTTTTGGCTGACTCAGCAAGTTCATGGGCCTTTCTACACCTAGACGCCCCCCTTCACACCGTTCGGTTTTTAATTTGCCATATCAGCAAACATCACTAACGGACTACATGTGTTGGAGAATAAAATAACTAGTCCATGTTTAATTTTATGACGTGGCAGAATTTATTTGGGCTTGACAGAGCTGCATTGAGGATGCTCTAAGAACGCATGGAAGAAGAAAGGTCAGCGAAGAAGAGAGAAAGGGAGGATCCACGTGGATTGCCACATGTGTATGGCACCGGCTGACCAGATCTCAACCGGCTAAAAGGCTAATTTGGATGTTTTTTAATACTTCGAGGACTTGATTGATTAAATAAAAAGTAGGAGGACACAATTGACTTTTTCATAATAGTAAAAGGACCTATTTGACAGTTTTCCCAATTATATAATACACGTAGCTACAACGTGCGCACGATACACCCGGGCATTTTGTTCTGTGCGCACCTCGGACGATGGAAACAGATAACAATGAACTCCCATTGTGACCTGCAGCTACGATGGACGACCTCCAGCCACGAGCGACTGGCAGCAACCTCCGGTGGCGAGCATGGATCTAGGCAATGAAGCGAGATCTACCTAGACGAGCCACGAGCAGCCTCCGACGACAAGCGACAGGCGAAGGACCAGTGACTTCTTGCAATTGGTGAACAATTGCAATCACAGACGACGAGCGACGGACCTCAACATATGGCAATTTCCGGTTAGTCTATGGCGGTGTATGGCGATTTTGTTGTAGATATATGTAGTTTTACTGGTATGAGCATACACAAATGAAATATTGAGCGTAGTAGAGTTATAAAATGAGTTTTTTTAATTTTTCGATGCTCATTTCGTAATTTATGTATACTCATTTGATATTAGTGTAATACTCATTTTAAAATTCCATATTCTTTCATCTTTCAAAAGTACTCCGTACGTCCCTTGAAACTTTGTCAACTTTCCTTTTTTGGATGTCCCACTAACTTTGACACTTTCTCTTTTAAGTAAAGAATTTGTGATTTCAGTTAATTTGCACAAACCTCAACCACACAGTTTTTATTTTATTAATCCTCGTGCCGGTCAAACTTGACAAAGTTTTAACGGACGGAGGTAGTATAATATTACATTGAATTCAATATGTTAATTGTAGATATTTTTAAAAAAATAAGAAAACCAAAGTCAATTATAAGATATAAAGTTGATATCAAGATGTTCATTATTGCACCCTCAATACTCACTAGAACAGATTTGATGTTCACTAAAAGTACATTAATGTTCATTTAACTGAAATCACGATTTTCACTTATTTTACGAAAATGACATCGATTGTACGGTGCTCACCATATAGCCGATTGTACGGTATACGTGTCCAAAGTTTGATATGGATTGTGTATGATTTTTTAAGAGAATTTTCTTTAAATATGACTGAAATACAACTAGTGGACAAAAATATTACCATAGTTATTATGCATAGTCATTATATAGTAATAGAGTTGAACACAATCATGATCACTAAAGTTACCATGGTAGTAACTAAATCATATTTATGTGTATTACCTTTATTTGAGTCATATATTTGTCATTGTTTCTTTTTTTAATATGTGGTTTTCAAAAAAGTCTATGGATCGATAAGTCATACATCTTTTAAAAAGTTCATAGACCCTTAAATTCGGATTGCCGCCGTCAGTTGTTGGGATTTTCTCCGGATCGCCATCGTCAAGTGAAGTGTAAGTAATAATGGAAAAAGAGAGAAAAGGTCGGTGCATGTAGTTTTCTTTTTCATTCTCTAAAATATAATTAATGGAGGAAAATTTGTGGTTTTAGAGTATGTATATTGATGGATAGTCTACCCGGGGGGTATCTTATCCGGGGGGTTATTGCGGGAATAACTTAGAGAGAAGTCAGAGTAAATAGGAGGAGAGAGAGTCGGTTTATTAAATGAACTCGAGATGTGGAGTTGGGATGTAGATGATGATTTACAAGGAGAAATGGGCTGCTATTTATAGCAGCAATAAATGCGATGAGAGGACACGTGTCAGTAATCCAACGGCCGAAGGGTCACATCAACCGGTTGGCACCGGCAGTGGTACGTTCACCGCATTAAATGCGGTTGGCGGATGCGACATGGCTTTAAATGCGGTGGTTGGCTGTCTCCAAAAGGAATCTTCGATGATTGAGAGTGTTTGGCCGAAGGCATCTTGTATCGCCGAGGGCTCCATGTAGCCAAGGATCCCTGTGCAGCCGAAGGCCCTGTGCGACCGGAGGCATGGTTTAGCCGGGGGCTTCTCTGATGCCGAGGGCATGGTTTAGCCGAAGGCTCACATTTTTCGCCGTTTTCTCCCAGTAGCCTCTTATGCCAGAGAAGGCTACCCTGTGAGATTTAGAGCCTTCGGCCAAAGAGGCCGAAGGCACTCCAGTGCGTAT